TGTACACAGAAATGTCACACCATTCGACAGTGTGAAAATGAATAAGAATGTTACAACAGAGTTGCAAGTCAAGGAGTGGGAGGCAAAAGATGGCATTCTAGAGAAAGCTGTAGATAACCGGTTACTTATCCAAGAATCAGATTTGGAGTTCCAAAAGCTTTTGATAATCGTGACCCCAACATATGCTCAGCCATTTCAAGCCTATAATCTGAATCGTTTGGCACACACGCTAAAATTAATCTCACCTCCATTGTTATGGATTGTTGTGGAGATGACCTCCCAATCTGCAGAAACAGCTGACATCTTGAAGAGAACTGGGATTATGTACAGGCATCTTGTTTGCAATAAGAATCTTACTGATGTAAGAGACAGAAGTGTTCATCAAAGAAATGTTGCACTTTCTCACATTGAAACTCACCGTCTAGATGGAATCGTCTACTTTGCAGATGAGGATAATGTCTACTCAACTGATCTTTTCGAGCAAATGAGGCAGATTGGGTATTTCCATTTTTCTAAACTAAATTCCTACTATTAGTGTTATACTTTAACAGAATGTTGTTGATATATCACCTTTTTCTGCATCATCATCTACCAATACATCATGAGAAGATAAGAGAACTTTGGTTTAATTACATTTGCTGGATTTCATAACTTCTTGATAAGTAAGCTTGAGAACTCTTCGTACACAAGGTACACCTTTTTATTGTAATTTCATAGTTTATATCATTTTCTGCTGAAGATCCTCTGCACATAGTCTGTTCATTTCTCATAGAGCCTGCTGGAGATCCAATGAGAGAAAGTAATATTGCATTCAGCACGATAAAATTTGGAAAAACTTTTGGTGCCTGCAGTATTGTTGTAAGACAGAACATCATCTTTGCCCCTGTAGTAAATGTTCTTCGTTTGACATTGCATTCTGCATGTTGTGGTGACAATGCCCTTCTTTTTTCCTTTTCCTTAATTCAATTGCAGGCGGTTTGGGACCTGGACAGTGGCCAAACTAATGAGTGGCAAAATGAAACCTATTATTGAGGGCCCGGTTTGTAATGGAACTCAGGTCATAGGATGGCATGTAAATGAATCAAGTAGAAGATTTCAGAGATTTCATGCTAAAATATCAGGATTTGCCTTCAATAGTTCGATACTCTGGGACCCCAAAGGGTGGCATCGACCGACCCTTGAACCTATTAGGCAGCTTGACACAGGCAATGATGATTTCAAGGTTGGTGTCTCTTGTTCCATATTGTCTCATCATCCATGATAGTGCCCCACATTATAATATGCATGGCTGTTGTGACCTTTAAATCAAAAGCAACTGGTAGACTTGGACCAAAATGGCCTATTTTTTAGTAAACTGATATAGTGACCTGAACCTCCTAAATTACTTATTTGAAATCGTACCATATTTAAGCACACCCTTCAATGGTTAAGCCTTTTATTTTTTTATTTTTTTATTGGAGAAATAGAGTCCACATTCCACCCACTGAAAACCTAACTAGTCACTGATTACCGGGTATGACAGTCCGGCTTCAATTTCTAACTCTCATTTAGCAATTTCAATTGGAATTGGAATATTCCCCCTCTTGAAAGAGTTCACTTACTTATTTGCATTTCCAGGCGAGTACATTTGTTGAACAAGTTGTCGAAGATGAAAGTCAAATGGAAGGTTTACTGCATGCTTACTCAACAATCATGGTTTGGCACCATCACCATGAATCATCTAACACCTTCTATCCTCACAAATGGATCATGAAAGATAGCCTAGATGTAATTGCCTCACTTAAGTGAAACTCTTGATGTGAAAGGAGTCCTGGTGGATGGCAAAGGTAAATGATCTTTTTAAAATATGCATTTCTATAGAATAGTCAATCTCTTCATCCTTTCGGAAATATTAAGCTGGAGATGTTATCAGCAAAAAGTCTGGGATGTTCAGATGTCAACTAAAGTTAAAAGTGAAAAGAAAATCTCCTGACATGTAAGAGAAGTTCTCATCAGAGCTTAAAACAAATAAATGATATGGGGAATACTTCCTGAGATTCTCAAATAACCTGAACTCTGATGAATCATTGGTCTTCAATTTTCTAGTCCAGACATTGCACAAATATCAACAGGCACACACATATGAATGCTGCTTAGAGGGTAACTTCTTATAGCAGTGAAAGAGCTGAACTTTCCCACCTAATTACCAACATGGATTGTGAAGGGGATAACTTTTGGCTACAGAAGCTGGTGGTTTTCAATTAAAAATGATTGATTTAAGTACTACAATGAATGTTTTATTTTGTTAAGTTGAACAGAATAACTTCTCACTTATCATGTGGTGTCAAAACACCTGGTTAACTAATGAAATGCAGTTGAGCTTTCTTGCATATAATTGCTCTCTCTCTTACAAACACATATTTTTAATGCAAATTTTTTTCCAGTGCAGGATAGATTGATGCGGAACCACAGCTAGTCTTGCCAGTGGTTACTAATCCTCACTGCAGCTGATGCCTGCTTAGGCTGTTCAAACACTTCACCCGTTTCATGTGGTCATTCAACAAATTGGTTGAGAATTTTCCCACAACGTTTTTCCCAGTTGTTAGATCAGATGCTTTTCCCCTTTTAAGATCAGGGGTGAAAATGATTATGTGCAGTTGTATGAAATGCCCATTTTCCTTTGTAGGCTGCTCTGTTTAACAAGAGAACATTTATTTGATGAGGTAATGCTTCATCCTAAAGCCTAGAAGGATCCAGGGTTCGTCCATGTCAATATCAGCTTAATTTGGCCTTTTGTCATGGTTAGATATTCTTTGGGTGTGGTAATGTGTAAAAATTGAATTATTAAGTTGGTGCTTTAAGTCACTTCTTTGTTCTTTTGCATTTGTTTCCTCAAAATCCAAACTTGAAAACTGATCAGGTTTGAATACTGCTGTTAGCGTTTTCATTTAGAGTTTTTCTTTCCTTTTTTTTGTTCCATTCATGGAACAAGCAAGCAAGCAATTGCAGACAGAGCCGTAGGATCATGGATGAACACCTTTCCAAATGTATGTTACTCCTTTTTGGAACCTTGATTTCTTGAAGCTATTCCAATAACAGTAAGATCCTTAATGATTGCAAAACCTTGTCCCATTTTTTTAAAACCGTGAATCTTACTCATTTTATGCAGTTTGACATTTAATGTGCTCGAATGGAATGTCTTGCTGTGAACTCCAAATAACTGAGCAATATAACTTGAATGCCTTCCACATAGGTTGAAAAAAGGTACAAAATACCCTTTCAATTGGATGAGTGCAAGTCACTTCATTCTCATTTCTTCTTCAAGCTCAACTTTCTTCCTTTAACAGCCATTACATCCTAATCTTTCTCTCCCACTTTCTTCAACTACACCCACAGATGGAACCCAATCTAGACCTTATCATACTTGCTCTTCTCCACGGCTCGTTCATCGCCGGCTTTCTTCTTCTTGTTACCTCTGTCATGTTGACGGCTCTCTTGCTTGCATTCTCCCTTGGTCTTGTATCAATTCTCATAAATGATTTGTGCTACATTTCCTTGCTTTTTTCTTTCTACTTTGAAACAATTCTGAAGCATAATCTTGAACTCGGTTTTGTTATAATTGTCTGCAAACTATTGCATCATGCCGTTCGCATCATCTTGGCTTCAAAGCCTTTCCTTGAACGTAAGATTTCCCAGCTCAAAGCAAAAGCAAGACATGTGATGAATCTTACTGATGGCCTGAGACTTTCTTAAATTCCGCCATATGCATTACTTCTCCAACACAAGTAAAATTTCTTCGAGTTGTATTAGAAATTGTGCATGCAATGACAAGCTTTGTCAAAGTATGTTATGCAATGCAATAGGTTATATTTAAAAGTTACAACTTTTGTGGCATCCCATGTATTACTTTGAAGAAATGTTCTCTATAGTATGACATGTTATATTGTTAAACTGTCAACATGATATGTTATGTTGTCAAATTATTAAGCTGACATGTTATGTTATCAAACTGTCAATTCGAGTGATTGGTAAGATGAATTATTATAGGCTTAATTATGTACATGCCCCCTGTGCTTTCCAACTTATCTCAGATTACCACCTGTGGTGGAAAACGTCTCAAAGTACCCCCCAACGTGCAAAAAACTGTCTCACGTTACCCTTTCCGTCAGTTTTTTTGAAGTTCCGTTACGAACGTTACTGTTCATCTCCCCCAAAATTCCAGAACAGTAGCCCCTCCCCTTTGTTACTGTTCATCGCTTATTTACCCTCCAAAACTCAGAAATTTCTCCTAACCAACACAACTAGCAGCAAGAACAACTCGAGAGGTTGAAAAATCATACCTGGATCGAAGAAAATGGTGCTCGGAATCGCCCGAACGAGCAATGGAGATTTTGGGTAAAAATCGGCCAATTTCTTGTTTTTTTCGGTGATCCAGACGACGGTTGGCAGCGGCTGAGATGTGAGGGTGGTAGAGGACAACGTGCTGGTTCTTTTGATATCCATGTCGTCGCTTGGGGTGGCCGGAGGAGGCGATGGCAGCCCAAAAACTGGTGCGATGAACAGTAACAAATGGGAGGAGCTGCTGTTCTGGAATTTTGGGGGAGATGAACAGTAACGTTCGTAACGGAACTTCAAAAAAACTGACAGAAAGGGTAACGTGAGACAGTTTTTTGCACGTTGGGGGATACTTTGAGACGTTTTCCACTACAGGTGGTAATCTGAGATAAGTTGAAAAGCATATGGGGCATGTACATAATTAAGCCATTATTATAATGTAAGTTGCAGACTAATATAACGTGTCAAACTGTATGATAAAATAACATTACTCATTGAATTCTTATTTCTAGTTACGTCGCTCATGTATTTGGGCTTTTGATTCTGGCCCAATCGTAGTGACTCTCAGTCCAATTTGGGTTCATGTAAGTTGGGCGTGGTTTTGCAAGTACGAGGCCCATCAGCATCTCCTACGACAATTTGACATTTCTGCTGATTCCAAAATACCCGCCACCTCTCATCCAGCTTTCACTTTAACAGACACGCGCACACCTCACCTTCTCTCTGCTCCTCTTTTCCATTTCCAAGTAGCGCAATGGAAACAAGCTTGTCTTCTTCACTGCGCGAACCTCACCATTTCTCTCCGAACTTGGGCTTTCGAACCGCAAACCCTCTCCTCTTCCAAGCTTCAAAGCGCAGTTCCTTGAGGACTCTCAAGCTAGGGTTTCTCCGAACTAATTCCTCCATTTCGTCTTCCACAACTCAACAGGACAAAGACTCCGTGAACTCTGTGAACCCCGTCTACGTCCCCACACCTCAAAATCGAGACCTACGAACCCCTCACAGCGGGTATGTATGCGTATGTTGGGCCTTGATTTCTAAATCGAGTGACATTTCTCTTCTTTATTTTGACTTATCGTGTAATTAGGTACCATTTCGATGGAACGAGCCGGAAATTCTTCGAGGGATGGTACTTCAAGGTTTCGATACCGGAACGGCGGCAGAGCTTCTGCTTCATGTACTCCGTTGAGAATCCTGCGTTCCGTAAGAAGCTGACGCCGTTGGAAGTGGCTCAGAACGGGCCTAGATCGACGGGTGTCGGTGCTCAAATTCTGGGTGCATATGACAAGTACATTTGTCAATATTCTGAAGAATCTCAAAACTTTTGGGGAAGTAAGAATTTTTTTCTGCTTGATGCTATTCAATTTGCTGTTTTTAAAGAAGTTCAGTACTTTTGGGGATGATGTGTTGGTATTCAATTTGACTTATAAATTACATTAACATTTAAAATGCATCTACCTTAATTATGCTGGTTGTTAATGTTTGTCATGCATAGGCAGGGATGAGCTTATGTTGGGGAATACTTTTGTAGCAGAAAAACAGTTGAAGCCTCCAAACAAGGAGGTTCCTCCTAAGGTTAAAATGCTTTCTTTGGAACTCCATACTCTTTTGTTTGTTTATATTCATTGTTATTTTGACATGGCCATTCGGTTTCTGATTAAATACTTTTTCCCTGCTAAGATTGTAGCACTGCAATTTAGGGTTAAGGGTATCTTATTTATGTGTGAGGATTTTACTAGGTGGCAACATAAATTTTTTAACTTTATTTTTAATTTTTTCTGTGTATGGGTTATACTGTACAGGAATTTGATAGGAGAGTGATGGAAGGTTTTCAAGTCACCCCACTATGGCACCAAGGTTCCATTCGTGATGATGGCAGGCATGACTTTCCTTTTGTTTATCAAATTTTACCTATAGAATATGAGTTTGCGGGCCCCATAGTGGTTTTTAGTACCTTGAGGTACAATTTTGTTCTAATGTCAGGTCAGACTATGTGGAAACGGTGCCAACTGCTCGTTGGGAATACAGTACCCGCCCAGTTTATGGCTGGGGTGATGTTGGGTCTAAGCAGAAGTCTACTGCAGGATGGTTAGCAGCTTTTCCTGTATTTGAACCCCATTGGCAAATATGCATGGCTGGTGGATCGTCAACAGGCATTTGCTTATCTCCCCACCTTCTTGCTAATAATTCCTGGAATTTTCTATTTATGCCTTGTTAGTTTTGCAGATGTTCTTTTCTTGCTAAGTTATATCAATTCTTCTTTTAGGTTTTAATTCTTAAAATCTCAATCTGGTAAGCAGAAACATGCAATTGAAAATTTATATAGAAGAGCAAACTGTGGAGAGAAATCTGGAATAGTATTTTCGGTGTGCACTTTGATAGTAATATTGCTCTTTGTAGATGAAATGGAATGCATCTTGGCATGTTGCACTACCAACTGTAATACTTATGTGAACCTTTGCAGATAGGCAGAGGGGTGTGAATTTATTAATAGATTATGAAATAGAAGTCAATCATAAACGAACTGAATACTTGTTGTTATACTTGAAATTTCCTAGAGATTTAATCAAATATAAGTAAAATAAGTTTTGCATAAGATTTCTACTAAAAATAGAAACACTGATAAATTTTAATGAGTTAATAACTTCTAAGCTATAAAAAAATGTAGAACTGGAATCCTCATATGGTTTGTCACAAAAACAGTTCTATAACTGACCTTACTGTTGTAGAGACGGAGAACCCTTTGCACACATATGATGTCCACTTTCACTAATTGCATCTAAATACTATGGTTCAGCTTTATCCTGTGCATGTTAGCTGTGTTAGTTATAATTCATCATCCTGTGGAAAATACCATTTGGTTATTCACTGTTTGGACAATAATGTGCTTTTTTCTTTAGAATATTCTATGCTCCAAAATTTGCTCTTTTTAGAAACCGGCATGCATTTTTTCTAGCCATTGTCTAAGGTTCAGTTGAAATCTCAGGTTGGATAGAGTGGGGTGGTGAAAGATTTGAGTTTCAAAATGCCCCTTCTTATTCTGAAAAGAATTGGGGTGGAGCATTCCCAAGAAAATGGTTCTGGGTAGGCTTTTATCCATTCATCAATATCTTATATGGTAAAGGTTAAGCTCATTCTTCATTGTATTATTTATTTGACATGTGAGCTTCACCCATTTTCCCTTTCTGGAAAGGGAACAGATAATCAAGATCAGTCACCCACGATGAACAAAGATGAGCCAGAATCATAGTTTTTATTTATTTATATATAATTAATAAATTTAAGAAAAACCCTTCCAGTTGTATTTGAAAATTATGACTATTAACATTTGTTGCTTTCTTCGCTATAACTGGAAGATTTAAATTAACATCTATGGTGCTTGCTAGCCAAACAATTGAAAAAGCCTGAAGAGCAGGGCTGTCTTCTTCATTAGCCAAATCGTACAGTGCTTTTTTAAATCATAGTTTATTGGTGGAGCCTTGTAGGGATGCTTGGTATATTTACAGTATTATTATTCTTCCTCCATTGTTTTATCTGGAATACATACTGCAGGTTCAGTGTAATGTTTTTGAAGGTGCTAGTGGAGAAGTTGCACTCACTGCAGGTGGTGGGTTGAGGCAACTACCTGGATTAACAGAGACTTTTGAAAACGCTGCATTGGTACTTGTCCTGTTGAGAGTTCTATAAATATGTGTAATTTCCAGTTAGGGTTAGAGAAAACCATGCTCTTTATTGCAAACAAATAGTACCTGCATTTTTTTTTAACTTAATATAAGCTCATGCATATTTTTTTGTGCAGATTGGAGTTCACTATGGTGGAAAGTTTTATGAATTTGTACCGTGGTATGGTGATGTTAGTTGGGAAATTTCTCCTTGGGGTTACTGGTCCATTGCTGCAGAGAATGAAACACACAAGGTAAATGAACATCTCCTTCGTCTTGCCCCTCCCTCCTATGCGATAGTAGTAAAGAGTTACATCTGGAAATGAAATCTGTGTAGTTGTGCTAAGTGGTCTGTGGTCTTGAATTCTTTTGGAATACCAGAAGGTTCACATTGGTTCTAGCCTTTTAGTTAGTATTAGTAAAAACATTTGTAATCACCAAAAAATTGGTGTTGATAATGAGCAGATTGAATTAGAGGCAACAACAGAGGATTCTGGTACGACATTGCGTGCTCCAACAGCAGAATCTGGACTTGCCCCAGCTTGTAAAGATACTTGTTTCGGTGAGCTAAAACTGCAAATGTGGGAACGAAGATATGATGGCAGCAAGGGGAAGGTGCACAATTGCTCATCACTTTATGTTTAGGCACAATTGATCGCTTGTGCAACGTTATCTGATTTGACCCTTTGCCTTTTCAGCTGATATTGGATGTTAAAAGTAACATGGCCGCTGTAGAAGTTGGAGGAGGACCATGGTTCAGTACTTGGAAGGGCAAGACCTCCACACCAGAGCTCCTTAGCCGGGCTCTCCGAGTTCCGGTTGACGTGGAAGGGGCGTATAATTTGGTTCCATTATTCAAACCCCCTGGTCTGTAGCCTGTTTGATCACTGCTCTCTTGAAGGAAAGCAAAGCATTGTCACCCATGCCGTGCACACCAGTCCCATAGATGTGCGTCTAAAAGTGTAATACAATAGCACTATAACCTTCTACTTCAAAATAAGCTTGAAGACATGAAAATGAGTATTGAGTTCCTTTGTATGCTAAAAAATTTATCCAAGAGTGACGGGCATCAAGTAGTTTATTTTAGACTGGTGTGCTTTGAAAATTATATGGTACCTCAAACTCAGACTTGTGGGCTTATTAATATGGCCTCAAGACTTGTGGGCTTTTTTGTTTTTTGTTTTTTCTGCTTGTCATTTTCTGAGGTGTAATTCACTTGGTACAGCATCTAAAGAGAATTGGCAAAAGAAGCTACAAGGTATGGGATATGAGTCAAATGAGAGGGACAAAGCAACCTATAAAGCAGCTTATTTCCTCCTCCCTTTATTTTCTTTGGGTTGCTATTATAAAAATCTAGAGTCTTTCTATTTAAGTCCAGCATTTCTCTTTATTTACCCCAATTTTTAATTTAAATTTTCACAATTTCTAAGAAAATCTCATTATCTTCCCAAACTACCCTTAAAAAACTTAACAACCTCACACCCCGTTATGTTGCTCCTCACCACTCTAAGTCCACCTCAACCTTAGAATTATAATAAGTCTTTAATCACAACATTCTCAATAATTTTGGAAAGAGTCCCAAACCAATAAATAATCTTACATTGCATGCCTCATTTGGCAACTCACAAACTACTATTTGCATACTGTGTTTAGGATTTGTAAAGAGAAGATGAGAGTGTAGTAGATTTCCTGGATTGAAATAGAAGAGTAATCTGACGATAGGGTGTAGAGGAGTTTATATTTTTCTAAAATTTAATATGAAGATTGGTGGGGTGTGTGAGGTATGTGTATAGATGTATTTGGGTTAAGTATTAAGTTGGATGACTTTTTTTGTCTTTTTACACAATAATAAAACTTAAGAGCTTAATAATTGAAGTATTATAATGAACAAAGAAAAATGTGGGGTTTAAATAGAAAAACTCAAAATCTATGGTGACAATTGGCTTTCTCATTTTGAAGGGATGATTAGTTCAATCAATTTAAACTCTGTTTAGCAACTAGTTGGATTATTATTGTCGGTATCCATCCATTTTGACAAAACTGCAGCGTTTAGGCTAGCTTGGGACTTCACCTACGTTACGTGTCACACTTGAGAAGGACCAATTATTGTGCATTCTATTCAAATGGCATGTCATTGGTAGGTATCAGTGCACTAATTTCCCGAACTCTTATCTCTCTGTCTTAAAAAATGGGTGGTTCAGAAGTAGCTTGGCCTTGCATAGTTGTTCATGCTATGATGATGATCAGTTTGATGCTTAACACACAGCAGATACATGGTGCATTGCCGGCGAACACACAAAAGCTGATTGATGAGGCCAACGAGGGTGGCCCTTATCTAGGCTTGGTCATTCCAAACTCTTTTGAAATGAAGCCTCTTCTTCAATCTCCGAACTTCACCTCAACTGACTTGATCATAAATTTTTCCGGTAATAAACATACAAATATTTATTCTTTTTTCTTCTAATCTCGAAAAATGTAGATTCAAACTTAAAACTTTATACAACTAAAATGAAGCAAATATGCTAATTAATTTAGGATTTGGAACTTAGTTTGATTACCATTAATTTGTTTTTGTGGGTTTTGAAGGAAGGAGATTTCGATTTGGAACCATTGCTAACAAGAAAGTCATATTGGTTATGACAGGACTGTCATTGGTAATACATATTATTCTTCTTCCAAATTTTCAATAAATTTTTTGTTTCTCTTCTCTCTTTCTCATTTCTGTTAATCCTTTTTTGTGTGTTTGATTTATAGATTAACGCAGGCATAACCACACAGCTTTTGTTAACCCTGTTCAATATAGAAGGAGTGGTGCATTATGGCATAGCTGGAACTGCAAACCCATCTCTCAACATTGGAGATGTTGCCATTCCTCATTATTGGGCCCACACTGCTCTTTGGAACTGGCAGGTACCTACAATTTCACTAGCCTGTTAAAATATGCGATCAAGGAATAATACTGAGAAGGGTTAACTGGTGATTTGGGCTATAAAATTGTATCTAAGTTTCGATTAACTCTTTTTTTTAATAGAAAATTAAGGACCAGAACTTTTTTTTTCCCCCAATGTGCCCCTAACATCAAAATCTGTCACTTCCCATCCATTCTGCTATCAAGTTGGAGGTTACTTTTGTCATTTCGTGTCTCCACTCAACTCAACCCAGGCTTCAGCTATCTCTTCCTTCTTTTTGGCTCATTTTTTTCCCAAATAATTTTCCCTCCATTTTTCTAACCTCCATTTTCGTACCTTCATAAAAGGGGATCAAGAGTTTAGGAAAAAAAATCCAATATTACGAGATGAGGAGGTCCTTACCTAGCAGAGGTCATGGAGGTCATGGGTCACAAAGGTGGAATTCACAAGTGGTGCCTCAGTTGTCTGCTACTGTGGGAAGACTACGAAAATCTAAACATCTTAGACTGCTACACATCAAGGGAGGAGGTTTTACATCTGTGGGAGGGTAAGTTTATAATTGAAATTTGGGTTGTTAATTAGAAATTTGGACATGCATCTTTCTTGGTCTCCAGAAAGTGTTGCTTCAAGATTCTTATGACAACCTCGCCAATTTGTCAAATCCAGCTACTATGCAGCTCAATTTCGTGAAATCCCCAATTCCCCCCCACCCCCTGCCCACCTTTCGAACTCTATAGTTGTGTGAATGGAGTCTCTGACCAAGCCTTCATTTTTTTTTTGGGTCAAAACTCTGACCTAGCCTCCTTTGACTTAAACTGGGTTGACTTGAGAGGAGATGCGAAATGACAAAAGTAACCTCCAACTTGACGGAGAATGGATGGGAAGTGGCAGATTTTGACGTTGGGGGGCACATTGGCAGAAAAAAATAGTTCATGTCCTTAAATTTTCTACAACAAAAAAAAGATAGAGAGTTAATTGAAAGTTATGTACAAGTTCAGGGGGCAAATCACTAGTTAACAACATATATAAGAGCACTTCCATCCATGGTGTCATGGCAAATAAGGGCAAACATTATTCACGTGAATAGTGACTACTCTACCCTTTTTTATTTTGCTTTTTGATCCATTGCCATGGCAAGTAAAGATAAACACTATTCACATGAGATATAAGGAGAAGAATTTGTATGGAGTTTTGGTGAGGGAAGTGAAAAACATAGCTAGGTATTTATAAAAATATAAAAAATAAAAAACATTTTTTTGGTATTTTTTTAAAAAAATTTGGATATTTAAATTGGCTGTTGATGTTATGTTGACATCAGCAAACCCAAACAACAGCCCAGACAAGTCTTGCCTTTGGGCTTGTCTAGGTTGATAGAGCCCACTTCTTACCTGGGCTGGCCTTTACCGCTGAAATTAGTTTTTGAGGACTGGGGGGCCTTCTGCCCGTGCTCGCCTGTGTGATTGGAAGTGCTCTAATAGACAAATTAATTACTAGTTTAATTCTCCTTTAGGACAAATGCCTTCCCCCCTTCCATTTAATTTATCCTTTTATGGTAAATATTAATTCTTCCTTTATTAAAAAAAGGGCATTGACTTGTAGATCAAAGGTCTCAGATTCCCACGGCATTATAGTTGTGTGTATGTGAGAAATCCTCCTCCTACATAGTTTAGACTATCGCTTGTACTGAAAAAAAGTTCAATTTGAGCAAAACTTATGAATTTAGGTGTGTGTTTGGCATGATGCAGAGATATGGGAAAGGGCCTGAAGATGAGCTGCCCCTTGAAGCAAATGGAGACTACACCAGAGAATTTGGGTACTTGAATGTTGCAAATTACACTGTGAATGTGACAGATGGCAGCTCATATGACAACTTATTGAACAACATTTGGTTTCAACCAGAGGAGGTCTTCCCCATAGATGGAACTCCCGAAGAAAGACAGCATGCCTTTTGGGTTGCTGTTGATCCCCACTACTATGAAATCTCCCAAAAAGTAGAGGTAATTTAGGGCTTTCCTGCCACATCATTAGCTGAGCGCGTATGACGTGACAACATATGTGTACTTACTACATCAATTAATATGTCAATCTGTTCATTAACGGTCACACATTATGTGATTAATTAATGTGACACTTCAGGACGTTTTAGAATATGTGTTCATTAACATATGTTGATTATTGCTTGCATATTGTTTAGGACGTGAAGTTGGAAGGCTGCCTCAACTCAACAACATGTTTGTCCAATATACCAAAAGTGGCAAGAGTCCAAAGGGGAGCAAGTGCAAGCATTTACCTAGACAATGCTGCTTATCGTGGCTTCCTATATAACAAATTCAACATAAGCCCTATGGACATGGAGACTGCTTCTGTTGCCCTGATATGCCTCCAACAAAGGGTTCCCTTCATAGCCATCAGGGCTCTCTCTGACTTGGCTGGCGGTGGCTCTGCTAAGTCGAATGAGGCCGACACGTTCAGCCCTCTCGCTGCCAAGAACTCGGTTACAGTTGTTGTGGAATTTATCAAACAGTTATCAGCTGCTGCTACTATCTCTGTTTAATATTCATGATTTTGCATCTTTTATTACTTTTGTATGCAACTTTTGTAATTTTAAATAAATTGAGGGCCTTTTCGAAAATGGGACCCCCTTGTTGCTGTTCTTATTTGTTTGGGCTGCTCTTGTGCTGCCTCATTATGCAACTTTATTATTATATTGTCAAGCATTTATAAGAACAATGTTCCAATTATTGCTTTTCAAGGCTCTGCCTCAACCCACCTTTCAAATTTTGAACCCAAAAAAAAAAAAAAGTTAAGAAAAGAGAAAAAGGGCTTGCCTTCAGGTCTTGCTTGCCTTTCTGGGATATTGTGATTGAGCAGAGCAGGTTGGTTGCCTTGCCTCAGCTGGTGTTGTTTCTGCAATCTGGGTTTTTTGGCTCACAGATTGTTTGCTTTACTTCTGGCTTGTTTGTAGCTTTTGCTTCTTTGTAAGTTTCTGCTCTCTCTAGTTCTGGTATGTGTATTAGTTCTTTTCATTTGTCTTTGGTCTTTGTTTCTGTAACTGTGGAATTTTCCGTGTCCTGCTCTGTAGACTGCAGTTTGTATTTGGGGATTTAAGCTTTGCTCTCTCTCTCTCTCTCTCTCTCTCTCTCTGCAGATAAGAAAGAAAATGGGAATTTCAGCTGTGGCTTGCATAGTTCTCTCTGCTATATTGATGCTTAATGCACAGCAGTCAAATGGTGCATTGTCAGCAGAGACACAGATGTTGATTGAGGAGGCCAACATGAGTGGCCCTTATTTAGGCCTGGTCATTCCAAATTCTTTTGAAATGGACCCCCTTCTGCAATCGCCAAACTTCACTTCAAGCAACTTGTTTATAGATTTTTCTGGTAAGGATATGCAAAACCACAATATACAATCAAATCAAGCAAGTTAATTACCGTAATATTTTTTTTTCTTTCATTTTTTTGGGTTTTTAAGGGAGGAGATTTAGGTTTGGAACAATTGCTAATAAGCAAGTTATATTAGTCATGACAGGACTGTCAATGGTATGTACTAATTCTTCCAATTTTTCTCAATTTCTCCTTGAATTCTCTCTCTCTCTAACTTTCTCTGTAGATTAATGCAGCAATAACTACTCAGCTATTATTAAGTGTGTTCAATATAGAAGGAGTGGTGCATTATGGCATAGCTGGGCATGCAAACCCATCTTTCAATCTTGCAGATGTGGTCATTCCTCAGTATTGGTCTCATTCTGCTTTATGGAGCTGGCAGGTCGGTAAAAATCACTTTCCCACAAAGCTACCTAGCTCTATATTTGGCTCACCAATTACTAGTAATGCCTAACATTTTCCTCGCTAGGCAACTAGAAGAGGGAGGGGGAGAAAGCCTCCTTGTTTGTTTTACTATCTAACTATATGTGGTTGCCATTTTCGCAAACGTCATTTTGGTGCAGAGATATGGAAAAGGGCCTCAAGATGAGCTGCCCCTTGAAGCAAATGGAGACTACACCAGAGAATTTGGGTACTTGAATGTTGCAAATTACACTGTGAATGCGACAGATGGCAGCTCATATGACAACTTATTGAACAACATTTGGTTTCAACCAGAGGAAGTCTTCCCCATAGATGGAACTCCAGAGGAAAGACAGCATGCCTTTTGGGTTGCTGTTGATCCCCTCTACTATGAAATCTCCCAAAAATTGGAGGTAAGGCTACCTAATCCAGAGTCCAAATTATC